CCCTGGGGCACACGAGAGGGACGAGCCGAGCGACTGATTGAGCCACAGGATGGGTTAAATGTGCGGGTAGAGGGTTTAGGGCTTAAGATAAAAAAACATTAAATAAATAATGATATAAATAGAAAAGTTTAATATTTTAAAAATAAAATTTGATTTATGCATTTTCATTCGTGTGTCAGATTGTAAAAAAATGGAATGTCCTTTTTAGGTAATTTTGGCGTTCCGGACGCGCTGATGTAGTCCGTTCACTGTTGGAGGTCATTTTGACGAATTCATCGATTTGCGTGCAATTTACTTGTGTGCGGAATTATGACAATATGAGTGTCTTTCCTAGCTAAAATTAGTGTCCTGGACGCATTGGCGCAACCTATTTTGTTGTCGGAGGTTGTCCGGAGAAGTTTGCATCTTTTAGGCTCAATTTAAGTCCCATCTTGTGCATTTTAGTGAATATTTTACATTTTGTGTGTGTGTGTGTGTGTGTGATGATAAATTCCTGAAAAGGTTTTCCTATGGCTTGAGGTCCTTTTGGGAACTTCTTTTTGAGCCTCCATATGATAGTCCTTTACCACTCGACTATAGGACGATGGTTTTGAGACCATCAATGCGAGACATCACAAGAGAAATAGGAGGTGGTTGAAATTTCTAAAAGGGGTGGGTCCCAATTTTAGTTTTCTAAGATAGTCAATAGGAATCTCTAGAGCTAGATCCAAGGGCCCTAAGGAAAAGAGTAATAACCTCAAAATGAGGTCAACAAGGCAGCACCAAACTTTCCCCTATTTTTAAATTTTTTTTTTTTTATGCCAGGCATGCTGCCACTGACCCTCTGGTATTAATGTCACTTTTCGCGTTACATCTTTCTTATCCTTGAATATGATTTTAAGTCTATTCCTTGATCAGGGAACATAAATTCCTGATGCAACTAATCCAATTTCTCTAAAATTTATACTAAAACTATGCGTAGTAAACCATTCTGATATTAAGGAAAGACAGGAGCTTAACTTCATTAGGAATTTAATGATATTGAGTTGGCAAGAGTTCTGTAATCAATTTTTCCACTGTTGATCGAGTATTTTTTTGTTTTGTTACTTCTCATCTATTTTCCTATTGCTTTCATACTTTAAGTCTATATTCTTAGTCCTTTGAAAGCAATGGCAATTTTCGGCCCTTGTTTTAGTTTCTCTGTTCTCCAAAATTTTTTTTCGGGTTAAGTTTGAATGTTGGGCTAGCACGCAAATTTGGAGATGATTGTATTTTTGTTAATATCTGTTGATTGTGGTTATATAGACGCCTTAGAAGAATTGATTGGCTTCGACTATTCAACTCTAGCTGCTGCAAGCAGCACCAACTTTCCCTATTTCTATTTTTATTTTTGCTAGGCATGCTATTGCTGGCCCTCTGGTATTAAAGTCGTTTTTCATGGAACCTTGTATCAAATCTAAGTCTAGATAATATATTTCTCTCATCCTTGAATATGATTTGAGTTTATTCCTTGATCAGGGAACATAAATTCCTGATGCAATTAATCCAATCGCTCTACTCTAATTTATTCTAAAACTATGCCTATTAAACCATTCTGATATTAAGGAAAGACAGGAGCATAACTTCGTTAGGAATTTAATGATATTGAGCTGGCGAGAGATTTGTAATCAATTTTACCCCTTCTGATTGAGGACTTTTATGTTTTGTTACTTTTCATCCATTTTCCTATTGTTTTCATAAGTCTATATTCTTGGTTCTTTGAAAGCAATGACAATTTTCTGCCCTTGTTTTAGTTTCTCTTCTCCTCCTTTTTTTTGGGTTAAATTTGTATATTGGCTAAGTACGCAAATTTGGAGATGATTTTTAATTTTGTTAATACGGTGTTTGTGCATCTGGAACTTTCTGATGGTTATTTGAAGGTGATTTTATGAAAATACAATTTCCATCATTCTGTGGTGTTTCTATCATCATTATATGCACCGAATTAGTTGATTTCATATGCTGATTGATGCTTGCTTTCAATCAAGCAGTCGATGCTTGGTTTGCTTAGATTGGGTGAATTGTTTTCTTTTTATGGTACTAGTTGAAAGTCTCTCTACCATGTCCGTGTTTGAGCAGGTAGCTTTGTCTATATAGTTTACTTTTTTTTTAATAAATTATCTTGATGTCGTAGTTTTGATCTGTAGATTGTAAAATTAGGATAGTTTTAATACCCCGGCAGGACTGTAGTCTTTGTGACATGCACATTCCTGTATGTTCTGGGTGCATATGTTTGTTTCCTCCATTTTGTCTAGGGATTTCTGGTTAGTTTTCAGTTAATTGCCATCTTGGTTTGTTTTCAGTTATTTGATAATTTATTTCGGGTACTTCACACATTTATTGTTCTCCTGTTGACAGGAAAATGATGGTCCAGAATCATCTGTAACTAAACTTTTTGCATCTGCTCGAGCGGATGCTCCTCGTCTTGCTCGTTTTATGAATAACATTCCATCTGAGGCAAACATTCAGGTAGACTTTAATAACTCTAGCATGTGCGCATATGAGAGAGATTGATTGACATACCACTTGCTTTAGGCTACTTCTATTGAGATGCAAAACTTGCTTGTTTCTGGTAAAAGAAAGGAGGCCCTGCAGTGTGCACAAGTAGGTCAGTTATGGGGTCCTGCTCTTGTGCTAGCAGCACAGCTTGGCGAGAAGGTTTGTCCCAATTCTTTACATTCAAGTTGGCTGAAATGTTCTCACTTTCAGTATGATTTTTAACATCTAATCTATATGTTTAGTGGAAATGATACTTTTGGTTCCCTTTCTCTCAACATATTCAAATTTTATGTTTTTGTGCCAACTCCATGCAGTTTTATGTTGATACTGTGAAACAAATGGCACAGCGCCTTCTGATTTGTGGATCACCTCTTAGAACATTGTGCCTTCTTATTGCGGGGCAGCCTGCAGATGTGTTTTCTACTGAAAGCTCCACCAATGGTAGCTCTTCTGGCACTGCGAGTGGAGATGAACAGTCGTTTGAGGTGATCTTCCTTGCTTCATGGGGTTTGTGATGTTTTTTTGTGCAAATTATGTAAATGAGCTGTTTAATGATCTAGGTTATCATTCAGAGGAATTCGTTAATTTGCTATACACAAGCATTGTCCTATAACCGTTTTGCTGCCTATAACAAACATATTAAGATTCATCTTGTTTTTGTTTTAAATGTCTGAGAATTGAATGTCAGCCTTATATTAGTTGGCAATTTTTGAGGCATAATATTAATTTGCTTGAATCATTATATGAGTTAGATTCAATCCAACTGCATGCTTGATGACTGGGAGGAGAACTTGGCTATCATTACTGCTAATAGAACAAAGGATGATGAGTTGGTCGTAATTCATCTTGGCGATTGTTTATGGAAAGAAAGAGGAGAGGTCTGTATGTACATCTAATTTGGCTATGATTCATTAACTGTTCAGTGTAATATAGTTTGACTGAGTTTTCTGGTACAGGTCACTTCCGCTCACACCTGTTACTTAGCTGCAGAAGCAAACTTTGAACCATATTCTGACAGCGCAAGACTCTGTCTAATTGGTGCGGATCACTGGAAGTATCCTAGAACTTATGCCTATCCAGATGCAATTCAGGTAAAGCCATTGCGTTCAAGTTACATTCTTATTTGCAAGTATAGGGGCAAGGCTTGCATCAACCTTTCCATAGACTCCAGATACCTGGAGCTCCATGTAGCAGATAAGCCCTCGTTTTATAACCTGTTAGCTACAATTATAGTCCCATGATTCCCTAAGAGCTTTAGTGAAGGAAGAAGGAAAAAACCTAAAACGTGAGGATGCTGGGATTCCAATTTTTATTGGATTTCAATGCAAAAATGAAGGCTTTTTAAGAAAGAACTGAACATGATCCTCTTGATGGAAGAAGTTATGATTTATGCACTATGATTCCAACTTTTCCTTGTTTTTGTAGACTTGTAGTGTCTGTAGCGTTTGATTAATTAATTATTCAGTAAACTTGTTTTTTTATTAATCTTGATTGTTGGTGGAATTGTAGTTGAAAGTCACAATAGTTAATCTGCAAAGCTTGTTGTTATTATGTTTTTAATCAGTTCTGAAATTTAATTAATTTTCTTCATCGCTTATGATTGATCAATCTTTTGTGTTAAATGCTTCTCGTTTGGATTTATTATTTGGATTGACTGAATTTTTCATTGAATCTGTAGAGAACAGAATTATATGAATATGCAAAAGTTCTTGGAAATTCCCAGTTTGTCCTTCTTCCATTTCAGCCATACAAGTATATATATGCTAATATGCTTGCGGAGATTGGGAGAACATCTGATTCACTGAGGTGGGTAAGATAGCTATTCCAGCACTTCTTGATGAGTAGTCAGTTATTCATGTTGTTTTTCATACAGATACTAGCTATCCAGCACTTCTTGATGAGTAGTCAGTTACTTATGCTGTTTTTCATACAGATACTGTCAAGCATCTATGAAATTGCTAAGAAATTCTAGTCGTACTCCTGATGTAGAAATGTGGAAGTCGTTAATATCTTCACTTGAGGAGAGATTATCTGCTCATCAGCAGGTATTATATGTTCTCAATGCATCTCTTTCTGATTGTTTCGACAATTTCTAAACCACATCTATTTTCCAGGGTGGATATGGAGAAAACTTGGCTCCTGCTAAATTTGTTGGTAAATTATTTACTTCCATTGATAGATCATTACATCGCATGATGGGTGTCCCATCACTGCCACCAATGCCACAGAACAATGCGAATGGTAAAGAAAATCACCTGGTTTCCCCAAAGGTGGTAAACAGTCAGTCGACAATGGCCATGTCAACCTTGATTCCTTCAGCATCTGTAGATGGCATGAGCGAATGGACAAGTGATTCTGGCAGGAAAACTTTGCACAGCAGAAGCATTTCAGAGCCAGATTTTGGCAGAACCCCAAAACAGGTGGATATATTTACTTACCGGTCGTATCAGATTTTGTTAAAGAAGGTTTAGGTTATAAATATTGTTTTTTATTGCATTTGGGAGATTTTTTTTTTTCTTACTGTTTTGATGGTATCATTGGTTTTTTAAGTGCTTAAATTATACTTAAATTTTAATTTCTGATGATATTCTTTGAAATTTTCTTCAAATGGTTTTAACTTAATTTGAATGGTTAAAGAGTAGAAATGACCAAGTTATAACTATAATTAAACCCATATATTTTACACAGTAAGCTTTAAAAGTGTTGAGTGCATTATTTTTTAAGATGCTTGCCTTTTTTTTTTTCTTTTGTTCATATATACTCATCATTAGGGAGCTTGGTTCTTGTCCACCCATCAATTAATTTTTTATGTATAATAGACTGAACAATGTGTGCATATTCGCAGGGCTTCAGTGATACTGATCTGGTGTTGGAAAAAAAATTTGATGCCATGTGAAACAGCAGGATGACACCAAAATGTTACTGAAGTTTTTGAAAAGGAAAGAAACTGCTGAAGTCGTTTGTTTTTTTAATTTAGTGCCACCACAGATCATTCTAAAATTATCAAAAAAATATATTCTATTTCATTCTCTTATAATGGCTAGCAATAAAGAAGTCATGGATGGTTATTTTTAGTATGGTAAGATAAAACAACTTGATTTAGAAATGTTTAAATTTGTGAGAAAGTAAGTGTAACATTTAATAAGGATGGGACCGTGAAAAATATGCTTACGTGGTTTGAGCTTTCACCAAAGAACTTGAAGGAGATGTATGTTGATATTATTTTTATATGGAGCAATGATTCGGTTGCTTGACTGCATACCTGGTCATTGCCCGTGTCATTGAAGCTCCTTTTTCATAATATTGAGCGCTCCCACTTTACAATATTGAACGGACCCACAACAGTGTGGGCGTGTGGGTGACGGTGGTTGGGGTAAGAATGTGACATCACCAATTCTTTAGACTTCACATTTGTGAGAGCTTATTATGTTTGGCCCTTTATGAAACCAATGTTAGGCTTATAGTACATCAAAATTTACGACACTAGAATTTTGGTAAAATAGAGTTTTAATGTGGTGCAATGCTCAGTAGGAGTGATTGTAATTCGACCAGTGAAGCTAACCGACAAACTTATGTCATCTCAGCAGAAATCATACATTTTGATTTTATTTCTATAGCTTTTGGATTATTGTTTTCTCTTTTTTTTTTAATCCAGACTATCATGATTTTTTGGAGAACGGGGTGTGTTCACTAATGTTCTAAACCTATTTTGATGGTTCAGTTCAGTTAGTTGGTTGGGCTGCAACTTTGGTTCAGTTTAGTTCCTGTATTTTCTTTGGCTTGGTTTTGTGTTGCCTCTATTATTTGTTTCATTAGTCTTCTGCACCACCCATGGTTTTGGCATTGCAGAACTTGCGTAACCATTGTATCATATAGGTCGACCTATCCACACCTAGTTGCTAACCTTGCAGACTTTTGCATTACCTTTTGGGAAATGATTTAGGGGCTCTTTAGTTTTTTGCCCAATCTAAAGATTCCATCTTTTAATTTTTTGCCCAATGATGTGTTAGTCATTTATAAAGTAATGAGTAGTGCCTAAATAACCCCCGACTATTTACATGGGTCTATTTTATTGTCAGAGTTTATAGAAGTGTCAAAATAATTCTCGACTAGTTTAAAATTAAGCTCTAATAGTCCTCCATATGGATCTTTTTAGCCACACTTTAAAGTGTCCGGGGACCATTTTGACACTTCTATAAATATTTGGACTAAAACGGCACCATATAAATAGTCCGGGACTATTTTGGTACTTCACTCTTGAAGTAATTATCTTTGATTTGCTACTTTGATTCTACCTAAATGTTTTAGGGCATATTTGTGTAATTTTTGTTATACTTGAATGTTTAGTGTTCGTGCAACATTCCCCATATATTGGTAAAAATTTAGAGATTGATCTGCCTGTATTGCTAATTATTGTTAAATTTGGCATAATTTTATTTTTTCTGTTGTGTGAGTTCTTACCGAACACAAATTCTTTCATCATCTTAAGATTTTTTAATGGAGTTTGTTATTAGAAATGTTTAATTATCCACACGGATAGATCTTAAGGTTATATGCATTCATCTAGAGGGATGATTATAACTGTAGTGCAGCGCATCATTCTCTTCATAGCTTTAGTTGATTTATTTTCACGAGTCCAGTTTGGACAGTTTCAATCAATTAAAACTCGAGTGCTGCTTATTTCACACAGAACGCATCAAATAATTCTAGTCCTGGGGATGCTCAAAACAAAACATCGCCATCTCGTCTTGGCCGCATTGGGTCACAACTCTTTCAAAAGACGGTGGGTTGGGTATCAAGACCACGTTCAGATCGACAGGTAATTCATCTTTCACACTCTCCTACTTTCTTCTCTGCTTTCAAATAAAATTGTCACACAATATTTTGTGGATTTTCTCTATTGAAGGCAAAATTAGGCGAAAGTAACAAATTTTACTACGATGAGAAACTCAAAAGATGGGTAGAAGAAGGCGCAGAACCTCCTCCTAACGAAGTCACCTTACCACCACCCCCAAAAATTACTTCATTTCAGAATGGCACGACACAGTACAACATCAACAATGCCTTGAAGGGCCAAAGCCCCAATAATGCAAATGCAGTTTCAGAAACAAAATCTCTAATTCCTCCGGAGAACTCTGGATTTCCACCCATGTCACCAAGCCCCAACCAATTCTCGGCTCGCAGAATGGGCGGTGTTCGATCAAGGTGAGTATTCCCTTACCTACTTCACCACTAGGTTCATATCTTTACTGTGCTAATATCGGTTCGCTTCAACCTAGGTATGTTGATACCTTCAACAAAGGCGGTGATTTGCCGGCAAACTCGTTCCATTCTCCTTCCGCTCCAGCTGCTAAACCTGTTGCTGGAGCTAAATTTTTTGTCCCAACCGCACCCTCCAATGAGCAGGTACTCGATACCTCTGGAGGACGAATCCTCGAAACTGGAACAAATGGAGACCTGTGTGCATCATCAGGTACAGAACTTTCATTTAATTCGACACCACCACCACCACCACCACCACCACCACCACCACCAACAACAACAACAACAACCATTGAAAAACTCCCTAGTATGAACATGGAGACGTCAGCAGCATTACAGAATGGCAATGGCTTCCTTTCTCACTCTCCAGTAACATCGTGGAATGGTAAATTCAATGAAACTACGCCATTTTTTCCTTCAAATCCTGGAACATTACATTCAAGCACCTTATTACATCAATTTAATGGCGGCTCTCCGGTTGATGATCTTGATGAGGTTGAGCTTTCATAGTTATAACATCAGTTCCTCATGTTTTTTGCATGCTGTTGGGGGGGGAATTGTTCCCCCTCTATCAAAAATTTAAATGAGAAATGAAGGGTTTTACAGGAGTTGACAAAAGTGTAATGTGAAATATCATATGATGTAATTTTAATGTGGGGGATGTGATATATCCCCCGTGTTGAGCTGGTTTGTTTCCCACATGAATGATATGTGGGAACCATTGTACAGATAATTTGTTTATTTATTATGCAGTAAGAAATCTCCATTTGTTTGAAGAGGTGCTCCAACACAGAGCTCAGTGAAAGCCTCCAGAGGACAACTGTAAGTTCCCCTTCATTTAAAATCAATAAACTTTGCTTTTTTTGCCTTTCTTTTTCAACGCTTTGCATTGTTTATGAAAAAACAAATGAAAAATGATGACGACTTCAACAGCTGTTCCGTCCCCCTGCTTGAAATAGTGGACTAGTTTTTGTCAATACATTAGGTTCGTGGAACCCCTCCCCGGGTTTGGTACTCTTGCAGTACAGCGAGAGCGATAGATGTTTTTCCGAGGGCTTCGTGTAAATTAAATTATGTGACTTAAATTTATATATAAAAATATATAATATATAAATATATATATATATATATATATATCATGAGAGCATGTAACATAAAAGGCCAATTAAGATTGACAAAATAACTCATTTGTGAAAGATATAGGTTAAATTATTGTTATTATCAATAACTTTAGTAGTTGTAGATATTATGGCATTGAATGCACCTTGCGCCATAGATGCATGACAACATATGTAGACTCAGAGTAAAGTTCATCAAGTAGAGGAGGGCTAATGCAAGATAAGCTATATGGAATCTCACAAAATGAATTTCAAAGCCCTTCAAATACATCGAACACGAGCTTTCTGTTTGTATTCGATTGGGTAATAATTTGAGCTTTAAAAATTTTATTTGTGCAGCTTTGAATGTGAGTTACTTAAGAAGCTAATTACGAGCTATTCGCGAAGTAATTAATGTTTAATCATATAATTGATAATTGCTTTGTCAGGCAAATAATCTCTTATTTTAAATATCTAATCAGGTCGGTAATCCCGTCCTTTAATTAATTGTGGACCTATAGCCGCTGTTCATTTGATCGTCGCATCGCGCATCTAGCTGCTTAAGAAGCTAATTACGGGCTGCCAACATTTACTTATAAATATATATATGTATATAATTCCTATATGCACAGCAATTGGTTCGTATCAACTACAATTGACTCAAATTTAATGTATTAATTAGACCTATCAACCTGACATCCAAACCCCAATGTGTTACTTGTGTTTGTATGAGACTCAATCACGTTAAACATGTGATCAAAATCAAGTCCAATAACCTTATAAAAAAGTTGGTCAGTGGAACTTAAAGAACACGAATAGGTGGAGCCACTCTCCTTATTTATTGGCTTTTAGCATACCTTTTTCATGTAATTTTTTATTTTGTAGCTTGGAATACAGCCCTACTGACCTATTAACCGCACCATGAGCCACTTGTCATGAACGAATAAAGTTCAAACATTGAAAATTTAAATAAATTAAACTTGAACAATTTGTTAAAGCTGGGCGCACGATCAAGTCAAACATGGAAGCAAGTCCAAACTATGATATACTGGCCTTTATTGTGGTTGGATGCCAGCTACTTATAGTCGCTTCCATGCATGTTTAAATCATTAAAGAATGGCATATGACTTTGCTAGATTTTCTAGAGCAGTTGCAATCAATAGAAGATTTTTAGTCTGAATCGAGGATGGATAAATCTTGATTCAAATAAAATTCAATCATTTTTTAAAAATAGTTTGAAGATTATTCAATCATGATTTGAAGATAAAGGTGTGTAGCATACAACTTGATGTTTAAAGCATTCTTAATTCAGGGATTAAAGTGTAAATAATATAACATAAAGAATTGAACATATAATGTTAACTTCTATAGATAATGAATTGAGAGACTGTTATTACCATAGAACTTTGCCACATCCCAAGTACACACACTCTACAATCGTTGTAAACATAGAAGATGGGAGAAGCTTTTATAATCAAAAGGTTACCTACTCTTTGCTTTTAACGTCTCGTCTTAATCTTTCGCACGTGTTTTCTCGATATAACAAATAATGAGCTTGTTTTTACAATTTTTAGTAGTGTAAAGCATATCAAAGTCAAATTTCTTGAATAGAAACTTGATGTGCGCCAGAAGGTCCGCGACTACAAAGTAATAAATTTTCGTTTTAGTGTTCCGTGAAAGCTCAACACACACTAAGGTAAGTAAGGAGGGGTAATAAAAACGTGACACCTTAACATTTTACATGGAAGAACCTCGAAAGAAGAAAAAACCAAGGGGCCTAATTCAGTTGAAATAATTCACTATAAATGATGAGTACACACTTTTCTCCTGAATTAGGAACGTTTGAGATACAAAGTTGATCATTGTAAATATAAAATAATAGTTCATCCATAATAATTGTAGTTTAGCTGTAATGTATTTAGTTTTCGGTGATAGCAAACTACAAGGGCCGAAGTCGACTGCTATGGAGATAGTAGTCCGTCGGGAATGTTGTAGATGATTATAGTTTCATCTTGTCATACATATTGTAGTTAAAACCTGTGGTAGTAGGTGACTGTATGGGCCTTAGATAGTTGCTTCAAGAATGCAGTTGCTACTGAGGTCGTTGTAGGAAGCTACAGGAACCGAGAGCCACGTAAGTTGTTGTTCACACTGACAATATTCGTGAGTTGTGATGACATCCATAGGCTACATAGGTAGGAGTCAGAAGCTACACGAGCTATGAACCACATAAGTCGTAATTGGTCAAGTAGGGCGTAACAATGAATTGTGATGACGTTCGTAGGCTGCAAGAGCTGGATTCATGAGTTGTACGAGTCGTGGACCATGTAGTCATGGCTGGTCGAGTAGACTATAATAGTGAGCTGTGATGACGTCCATAGACTGCAGGGTCAGAGTTGGGAGCTGCACAAGTTGTACAAGTCATAGGCCGTTGTTGATCACATAAGCTGTAGTGGTGAGTTGTGATGACATCTGTTGGTTGTAGAAGCCATAGTTAGGAGAAAGTCACCGTTTTTGGGGTGTTTTGTTTCACCGTCTTTGGGAGGCATCATTGCGTCATTTGTGGAGTGCATTGTTAAATCATCTTCGGTGTGTGTTGTTACACCATCGTGGTTTGTAATTGTACCATATTTAGGGTGCATTGTTATACTGTCATCGGGGTGTGTTGTTGTATCATATTTGGGGTGTGTTGTTACACTGACTTCAAGATGCATCATTGTAAAGTGTACTAAATATTATATTGCTCCCTCAGGTGATTCACCATTCCACAACGTATGAGGTTCCATAATGCATGTTATGACTAGAAACGTTGCTACAAGGAGCAAGTAGTGTCTATTGATAATCGACAGCGGCAGGCAGGTTGCAGTTAGAATTGGTTGGAGGTGGCTACGTTGAAGTTGGCTCGAGGCATTAGCAAGAATTGGCAACCACAACTATAGAAGTTGGTTGACGGTGTAGGTCGGAGTTGGTTGTGTAGAAGCGATGATGAACTTTAGTCCCTCCTCCAAGGTTCTATTTTCTTCTGACTTAAGGTCTAGTCCCCTTCTCAAAGTGAGGCTGGACTCTATTTATAGAGTCTGAAAGTGCAAATAAGAAATCAATTTAGACAACTACATAGGACTATCTGAGAGTTTTCACCGATTAGACACATTCAATGAATATTTGAGCTTCTTAATGATGTAAGATTAGAGTGATCTTAAGCTCGTTGGATTTGTCTCGCTGAGACACTTGATTTGATTATAAGTATATTAGATTTACAATATTTTTGACTTTTCAACTATGCACATAGAACTTTAAAAAGCAATTTAGCAACTTGATACGGGCTAAATCAAAGTTTCGAATGAATTTTAATTGAAATTTAAACATTTCTTGTTTAAAAATTATCTCTAGACTTGTCCAGGATGATGAAAATTTGTTTATGGGCAGCATATCAAAACAAAAAAAAAAAAAAAAATCAATTCAAAGTCTTTAATTCCAAAAAACTATTAATCATTTTCTTAAATAAGTTTCATATATTATAAAAACAATTGTAGCTCATTCTGTGGCTTGAACTAAGATGATTTGTAAACTATATATATACTTTTAGTATTGAGAAAAGCCTTCCAAATTTTTATGATCATCATTTTTTAATAAAAACCCTCTCCACCAATTTAATCGCATTCTTAATAAAACAAAAACTAATACAAAGAGCACCCATTTATTTGCATTTACTCTTTTGGAACTAAAACCTAAAAGAAAACAAGTTCACACTCTCCAACCTCTCCACCACCTCTGCCTGTTGGCATCTTTACTAGCACTTGCTTTGCGCAAAATTTCATTATTACTTGATAATTGTTCATAAGCTGGGTTCAATAGTAAATATAAAATAAATTAAAACATAAAGAATTTAAATATAAATTTGTAGAACAATAATATATATAAATTTAATATATATATTTATAACAAATGCAAAGCTGCAAATAAGAGCCCAGAGTTATCAAAAGAATATCAGCTTTTGTATTTCCAACGGGTAAAAACAGCCACAGAGCAGTAATACCACCCATTTTCTCTCCCACCCTACCCACCTCAAAGCACAAAAGCTCCAGTAATTCCAACTAATTACCATCATACCGAAAATCATCTAAATGAATGGATATATATCTATATATTGAATCTTTCATTTCAGACTAAAACAACTTTCACCACTTTATCTTCAATATAATTTGTTAATTTCAGACATCTGTCCAGACTCACCCAATCTGGTGAAGAAAGCCTCTCTATCAACCAGCATCTGGAGGCTGCTCATAACCTTCGACAATTGGATCCATATCACCGGTGCGCTGCAAAATGCGAATGCGAAAACTGCCAGCGCCCTCACGACGCCGTCGGAGTACCATGGATTTGCCATCACCCCAAGCGCGCCGAGTATCGCGAACCACGGAGTTAAGACTGGCAGTGGAGCGAGTAGGAACGAGTTGATGGCGATGGAGGCGAGAGCTGCCACGCCGAGCAGATAAAGCGACCAGCCGAGAACAGGATGAATGGTTCTGGGAATGAGAAAGAAGGGAACTGTGTAGGCTGCTATTATGGACCACATGACTACCACCTTATACATGGAGTGGATGAAGGTAAGGCTCTTCTCGGACCGCCGGTTATAGCACAGCTTCGACAGATTCGGCCGAGCTAGGCGGGTGATGGCTATTATCCCAACATATATTGCAGCCTGGATGAGCATGATTGGAAGCTCCGGAGCATAGCCGAGGTTCTTTCTCCGCTGCTCATGCCATGAAAACCCCAATGGAAGAACAGGCCATGACCACCAATACCATGGCTTCAACCAAGGAGCGCTTGGGAATGTTATGACGCTGTTAGGACCACATGGAATGCTCCAGCGAAGCTTAAGATCTGGAAAAGAAGACAACCCCATATAATTGATTGGTATTAGTTGGTAATGAAAAGGGACAAATTTGTAAAAGAGGATGGATTATGATCCTTACAGTAATAGGAAGCATCCATTTGATATCCGAGAGGAAGACGGTAGGTGCCGACCAGCTTTGTGTTGTTGACGGGCGGATGGAACATTGGCCGGTCGAGTAAATCGGGGAAATAACTGGCAAGGAATCCCTGATCGGCACCGTCAGGATTACTGCGGACGACTTGCAACTCATGAAGCATGTCATTAAACACAGTCATAGAAGGCTGCAGTTCCCAAAATAAAAAATGTTGTGAGAATCATTGGACCTATACGACTTGATAGAATTTTATGCAAATTGTTTTAGCTTTTCATTTAACTATCCACTCTTTTATATGTAATTACTCTTAATGCGGTAGAGTAACTTGCAAATAAAAGAATGGTGCAACTAAAACTTTTGCTACATTTATAATGCAAGTATGTAAGAAAAGTTTTAAGTTCAGAACAACAAAAGAAATCTTCCTAATGTAAAACAATGATATAAATTCTTCATGTCATATATAAATTCCGTATGTCAAACAATAACATATCCAACAAACTTAACGAAACTGACAAAATGGTTTCACAAAACAAAAGTTGAGACACGTCATTAACAAATATGACATGTGAAAGCACATTTTTCAAAGAGAGTAATTCAATTATTTCACTTAAACATAACATGAATGCAAAAAATGTACCTGAAGAACAAAAAGACCAGTATGGAAGATACATGGGTTGATGAAAACGGCACAGAATTGACCACACTGAAAGAGTTCATCCGTGCCTTGAAGGAACAGATTGTCGGAATCCAACATGACAACTCGGTCATAATCCACTAAACTCCAGGCATAAAGTTTGTTTAGCGTAAGTTTAAATCTAACGTTGAAGTTTTTCTGCTGCTCATATGGATTCTTCAAGTTCTCCACTGTCACAACTTTCACCATGTCCTCCTCTTTCCTGTTAGCAATGTAAAAAATATGAATAAATCTGTCCATCAACGATGTCTGACACAACAAGACTACCAATATCATCCGTATGATCCCTTAACTGTAATAAAGAATTAAACAAAAAAAATGTAACTCTCATGAAGTATGCAACATATTAAAATTGCAACGTATAATCTTCGAAGATTTACATACCTACGTAATTACATATCTAAAAACTAAACTTCAATTTTTAGGTACATCGGTACATGACAAGGTTTAGCTAATCTCCTTAATTCATGTCAAAGCTCTCCCTGGAAAACATTAACATTGACAACAAAAAAAATAAAAATGCATCTCTACCTATTGATTCAGTTTATCTCATTTATTAAAAATATAAAACAAGAAAGTAAAGTGCATTCTTCTGGCAACAGGTCTAACGCACGTTTCATCTATTTCTTAAAAGTGAGGGGGTGTTTGGTATGATATTTTTAATAAGATTTAAGTAAGATTAAACTTGCATCCAGCCAAACACCATAACAAACAGGTTAGATAAATCCGCGGTTAAGTTAAATCTAATTTCTGCTTGTTCAGTAAATTAAATCCATTTATTAGTTAGATTTAACGGATTTAACAAAAAAAAAAAATTATTCAAATAGATTTATGTCAAACACCTCAAATGAATTTCGGATTTAACACAAAAAAAAAATTTATTCAAATAGATTTATGCCAAACACCTCAAATGAATTTAACTAAATCTAATATTAACTGAACCCAAATTTTTTTGGGATTTAATGATTATTTGATTTAATAAAAGAGTGCATAAAGATTGACCTGGTCAGCAACATACAAGCCCAGCTAATGCAATAATAAATGATTTCTTCAGGCAAAAAAGACAACTTGGCAATAGGAAGAACTAGACCTATAATGAGACTGAGTTTCCCAAAGTTTTTAAGTGAAAAATCGGTGAAAAAAATCCAGATAAAAAATTATCAAATGTGAAAGGTTACAACTTTTTATATCCTTGTTCAATATTTTAGGGAGATTCCCTAAAAAAATATAGGGAAACAAAAATATCTCAAAGATTGAAGGTTGGACTAGTATCCTCTTTATTGGAAAAACGCAAAGACCCAACTAAAACATTAAAAACAAGCAATTCAAGCCTCACATCAGAAGATGGGGCCGCAATTCTGGCCGCTTCATCCGCTAGCGCTATGGCCCAGATTTTCCCCCAAAAAAGTCTTTTATTCACATGGTAGAAAAACGACTCAACACCTGTTTTTTACTGTTACCAAGATTTTCTTTTAATTAGAAGAAACTGAATAATATCAACGCAATCGAAAAGAGCGTTTTTTTT